GACTTGATCTGACTTGATCTGATTACTTGTCCTTGACAGTCGTTTATGCATCTAGTTCAGGGTATCAGAATGTGAGATAGAGCATATAGGTAGCCATGTGAGATTTGAGCCTGCTCGTTTCTTTCTTGTGCGATAGATCCCTCTTCCATGATGTGTAGCATTCACGTTGTCACTAGCTAAAATGATGGGGGCATAGGATTAGCCCACGCCCAAAACTGACTGTCCTGATGTGTCATATCCCCTAGTCAGCCCCTTTGAGCCGTGTGTGATCCTTTCTTTTGGTCTATAATGGAAAAAATCACCCTTGTTGCATCTTGTAGAAGGTTCCACAGTGTGGTTTTTATAAATTCTCTGCTGTTTCTGCTAAAGTCTATGTGAGTGTTGGAGGTAGTGCTTAAAAGTTGGGCTAATGTTTGAATTGTGCAGAAGTGGTGGCTCTCTTAAGAAATGAAAAGAAAAATAAAAGAAAAACAAAGAAAAAAGTTGAAAGCAAAAGAGAGCCACTACTAAAAATCTGAATAATGCCCAGTAAGTAGTGTTTCTTAGCAGTCTGGCTTGGAAATGCTGATGTTTATGCCTCCTTCGCTCTTGTGCTCTTAAGATATTGAGTGATGCAGAATAGCAGAAAGAAAATACCGGGTTGTTTGACTGTGATTGTGTGTTTGGAAAATGTGGAACCTTTTTGCTATGAATACTTCCACCACCTAAAAGGCCTATTCCCCATGTCCAAGACCCTAGCCAGTCATTTGAACCTGTGTCTAAGACCTCCTGATTAGTTAGTGGTGACACCCCATATGTGAACTCTAGCATTTAGAGGCTGCCATCATGGTGAAGAGATGATAGGGATTGAGAGAAATAGCATGCGCATCTTTCGCATCAAAATTGTCCTGACCCCACTGGTCGAGAGTGAGTGATTCGTTTTCATTTTCTATATGCTCTTGTACCCCGGTGAGGACCTAGATTGCTCGGTCTCTATTCTGATGTCTTGAGTTGGATGCATGAACCGACTGTTTTGAGTAAGTGGTTGAATCAAGTCTAGGTTGGCTAGTGAACAGACGGGAGACTCTTCCTTTACTCGATTTGCTGCACTCGAATGTCCTTTGTGGTGGTTGTCCAGGTTGTTATTGTGGTTGTGCATGTATTGATGTTTGAAAACTAGTGCGATTCACGTGTTTTGTGCCCTTATGACTTGTCCCCAGTGTTGGTTGATTGAAATATGTAAAGCTTACCTAGTGTCTGACTTGGTTTGCTTGGGGACAAGCAAACGGTTAAGTGTGGGGGAGTTTGATAGACCGATAATTATACATGCTTTTACCCCTATTCTGAGGCCGTTTGCGACGAGGAATCTCGTGTTTTAAGCCGATTTCACGCTAGGTTGTGTGTTTATGTCATATTTCAGGTCCCGGCGTTGGAATCGAGGCGGAGAAACGAGTTCTGGGCCGAAAGGAGCAAGGTTGGGACGAATAGGGCTGAAGGAGGAAAATACCCGGTCAGGTGGCCAAATACCCGACCGGGTATTAACCAATTTTGGGCGCCCGAGAAGCAGCGAGGGGCCCGGGCACAGCAGTTAAATCCCCGGTCGGGGATTTTGGTGTTGGACCGGGGATTTCCCCCTTTAGTGAAACGGTGCGCTGCAGAGATACCCGGTCGAAACCCAAAATACCCGACCGGGTATTTTGACCGGGTATCGCGACCAGGCAGCTGATTTAAGGAAGAAGAAGGTCAACATTGAAGGGATCCGAGTTTTTGAGAGAGAAAGCGTCGAACCAGAGTTCTCAAGCGCCATAGATCGATCTTCAACACCATTGGAGCCCGTCTTGAGCTTGGAGAAGTGCGATTAAACGTCCAGAAGCAGGAATCCAACTTCACAGTATGATTTCCGTGTCTGAATCTGCTTTTGCTTCTTTCTCTATGGAGTAGTTTCCCCATTCATCTGGGTATGGAGAACCCTAGATTTGTATGCTAGGTCTGATTGTATGAACCCAAGTACAGTGTTTGTGAATTGATTATATTCGATTGAGGTTTGATTGATTGAATGACTTGAATCCTGATCAAATTCCTGTTGTTTCTGCTTTAACCTGGAATGAGAATATCTGCCTAGGTTGATAGAGTACCCTTAATCGAAGGTAGCGAATTGGTGACTTTAGTCGAGGAGCCAATTCGCTATTCTGTACCGAAGTCGATTCGGTAGTGGAGGTTTGGTTCATTAGGGCCTCAATCTGTTTACTCCGGTGGAGGTTAGTCGCCCGCTAGAGACTTAGATTGAGAGGGTCTGGAGACCTTTAGTCGAGACTTCAGGCTAATTGAGAACCTTCCGCAGTATAACTTTCATGAAAATTGAACTTGGCAAATTGCAATCCGACTTAACTGCAGTCTAGGGGGAAACCATATTCGGGTGACCTCTCTTAACCTGAATACAACCGTTTAGTTGTTTTGCTTGCTTGTTAGTTTAGAACCTCACTAAAGTTTCATTGCTAGATAATACGAATTCACTGAGTAGTCATCACATCTAGGACCCGGGTTGACATTGAAACCCAAACCCGCTATACTACGTTTTAGGAAGTGGTTACACTTGGCCATTTTCTAGGGTGACAGTAGAGTCGAGTCAGCGCCCTTGGTACAGTTGGAGCAACAGGCGCCGGCCTTGTTTCCCTTGTGATATACGTGCGATGAGTCCTCTCTTCTGTCTTCTTCACAAAGTCATTGAGCACTCCCCTGTCGGCTAAAGTCTGCAGTTCCGACTTTAGTTGGTAGCAATCGGCCGTGTGGTGCCCTTTATCCCGATGGAAGTCACAATATCGGTCAAGGTTTCGCTCATTTGGTTGCCCATGCATCGGTCCCAGCCAACGCACATGGTACCCCCTATCCTTCACGTATTGCAGAATGTTCTTTAAGGAATCGTTGTACTCCGTGAAATTTCCCGCACTCGTGGGTGGAGGGCGCTGACCCTCCGTTCTCCTCTGTGGAGCGTTGTTCATAATGAATGGTCGGGGAGCCTGGCGCACTTCAATCTCTTCCCTACTCACGCGCCTCTTTTCTGCCCTTCTTGCGGCCAACGTCTCCTCCAAGGCGATAACCTTCTGAACCCTCCGATCCAAGTCTTCGGTCGACACGACGGCTCTATTGGACAGTACCCGACACAGCTCCTCACTATTCGTGCACTCCTCAAGACACACTCCCAGGACTGGCGGCTGCACATCCTTCACGGCCATGGAGACCGAAATCCACCGGTCATAGAACTCTCTAAGCGCCTCCTCATCCCTCTGCTTGATTTTAAACAAGGCGCCTATAGTCAGCGTCCGCCGCTTTCGGCTTGCAAATTTGGACAAGAACAATTCCGCGAACTGTTCAAAGCACTCAATGCACCCCTCCTCTAACTGATGATACCAATCCAGAACTACTCCTGCGAACGTCGAGGGAAACACCTTGCATAACATGGCGTCCGTGCTGTTGTACAGCTGCATCTTCGTGAAATAGCTATTCAGGTGATCCTCCGGGTCGGTGACCCCATCATAGCTGGACAGCGGCGGGAGGGTAGTTCCTGCGGGCTTCATTAGAACGCTTTGCGCCAGGGGTTGCCTGACCCCAAAACGCCTGGTCTGGCGTGTAGGCGTCCATGGGTTTTGCTCCTCTGGTCCTGAGGTAGCCAGATCACTAGGCGCCCTCCACATACCCGGACGCCTGGGCGGTGTCAATTCCCCATTCAGCCCTTCATAGTAGGGGGTGCCCGTACTCACTAACTTCCGAATCATCTACAAGCCTATCCCGTTTCCTCACCGGGGGGCTGTACTCTCTCGTATCAACGCTCCTTCCTCCCTCTAATTCCCTTCGAAGCATGGATATTGCCTTGTCTTGGTCAGCAATGATCTTAAACAGCTCCCTCTTTGACAATGAATCACTTTCGACAGATGGGGGCTCACGTCTTTCTTCCTCTACCTCCATGCTCACCACGGGGCTAGACCGCTGCCCGCACTCCTCATGACTGGAGTCCTCTGTTCTCGCATCGCCAGCGCCTGCATTTTCTTCGTTCAAGTCTTCCATCTGCCTACAATCTCTATGAACGCCCCCTATCTGGCGCGCCAATTGTTTGTGCCACGATACTTCTCTCCGCCAAACGCGTCTCTTCCCTCCACCGCAGGCGCCCGGGTCTTGCAAGACTAGCGCCTAGAGGGCTAAACCCGCCCGTTAGCACTCCAACGATCAAGTCAGTAGTGATTCTAGAGAGATAAGTGAAAGAAGGGACCTTAGTGAGAGAAACCGACCTTCTTAAATGCCACCTACCGGGTGCTATTTATACTACTGGAGCTTCCGACCAGGCTCCGACCAACTCCTGCCACACAGCCTTACGTCAGCCCCGCATTAAATGCCTGGGCTGGTCCAACGCCTAAGCGCCTACACGTGGCGCGTTGTCCGGCCTCCACGTCGGGGCGCACGGGGGGACCATCTTCCTTCGTGGCGCTTTCCCTACTTCTCCCCTCCGTACTTACTTGTCCGCGAGACTATTTTGTCGCCATGCGCCCCTCCGCCGTTGGTGCTAACCCAGATCCTGACCTAAAGAGCCTTTAATGGGCTTCAGGCCCAACAAGCACTTTGACTTTGGTGGGCTTATCCTCATTTCCCCAACAGATTCATTAAGGTTGTGGTTGTGTGTGGACCTCCATGCCTGTAGATTCAGCCACCGCGGTTGGAGTTTGATAGCATGGAAGAATTGGGATATGGTAATGGGAAATTATAGTTCATAGAACCAGGCTATGATACCATTAAAAATTTGATGAAGAGATAAATTGGAGAGAAAAACGAAAAGGGGCTCTTGGGCCAAGCCACCGAGTTCAAGCCAAACCCGATCAACACGGATTTTACCTGTGTTAATCGGATCGGATCGTGTACCTACGAGTCAGGACAACATTGTCATCCCTACTCTTGATCACAAGGGCATATATACAGACACATGGTCATTCTCAATTAGTCTGTACAAAATTAAGAAAACTAATAAATAACAAGACGACACATGACACTATGCAAGAACGACACCGCTTTGATCTCTACCCTTCACTTGTTTCAGAGACAAATGACTTTGTGTCAATGGATCCAATAGCACCAAACGTGGTTCATCTATCTAAGCATGGTCCAATTCCCAAGTTCATGGTTCAACTAGCATGGCATGGTCCATCAACTTCACCTTCTATGTTAGTAATCATAAATATATGGAAAACTTGGAAGTGAACTGGGCTGGGCAGTAGGCACAGGTGATCATCAGTTACAGCTTTGGCGGACGATTGTTCCGTTGTGGGTGTTCAACAACACTTCACATGACATTTTTGCCTGCACACCAATCCATATATATAAACATACTGAAAATTTTAACAGTGATATCTCAACTGACAAGACAAAAATAAAAATAAAAACATTCACAAACGTAACCAATTTCGTCATCATTTTTCTTCGGTTGATCAATCATTTTTCATATAACCTCATCCATCAATCTGCAATCGCACCAACCATCTTTCATATAATAGATTGGACCAAATACATTTCTAAATCTTAATTCTTATAAATTATTTTAGATTCAATTTTGTCTTGGTTTGAACTCAATTATATATAGGCATGCCACTAGGTAAAAATAATAAAACAGTAAATCAGTAAAAATAACAGGGTGATGTCTATTTTTTCCTCGCGACCTTTTTATATTCTTTTATGTTATCCAAACATATCGAAATACTAAGAAATAGTCAAATGTTCACATCCCGTTAGTAATTTTGTTAGTAATATTGACTTGGAAACATGATACTGACATGAAAGAGATACATGAAGGTCAACATTCCAAAATTTTAGTATTTTAACTAAGAAAAGAGTTACAAAATAATTAAATATAAAGTAAAAATGGCTAATATTTTGATGCATTGCGAAATATTTGGTTAATTAATAGTATTTTAATAGATTTGGATAATATAAAAAAATCTGAAAATTTTTTTCAATAAAAAATAAACATTAACCAAAATAACAATATATACAAACTTACAAAGAATGTAAAAGAAATTTTGGAGTTTGGTTTGGGTGTGGTTTTACCTTGAAAGGGAATCCAAAAGAAGAGAGGAAACCCAACCTCCCACCAACTTCCGCCACCGTACCAAACGGGACCTTCCCTCTCTTCAAGTCCCTCATCAGCAACAACCCGTCCGACAAAACGCCGATCCCGTTCACTTCCATCTCCGCCTCCAAATACGACGTCGTAAGCGCCCCCACCACCACCGCCGGCCTCCCTTCTCCTGCCGCCGTCACCTCCCCTAGCCTCTTCCCTCTGTAGGACACCACAACGTCCAGCCTCGTCAGCCCCACCGAGTAAACGTCGACGTTTCGCACCTCCACCATCACCCGCACCGTTATGTCGACGATCGGAAACGGCACCGTGTGGATCTTCACTTTGGTCAGCCGCAGCCGCACGATCGTCAGCATCGGATCAGACGGCCAGAAGGCGTATGCCGTGAGAGATGCGAGGAGGAGGGACAGACATGCGACGGCGGCGACTGTGATGGAAGTGGTGGTGGCTAGACGGCGGGAAGGTTGAACGGCGTCGTTTTGGTCGGGCGGTGGGCTGGGACGTAGTAATAAGGGATGGACGGAGTTATCGTCGGGGAATTCGGCGACGGCCGCCATTGAATCATTGGGGGGGGGGGGGGGGGGGGGGGGGGGTTGTATTCTATTTGGTTGCTTTGCTTTTGCTTTTGTGTTGTTGGTTCTCTCGGCTCTCGCTTTAATTTCTCGACGCCTTTTGTTTTGTTTATTATTTCTGGCGTATTATTTTAACAATTTGATTGAGTGTTTGTAAATGGGTTGGGGCTCTTTCCCATCTGTTCTTTTGCTTAAGGATTTCTTTGGCTTCACGGAGGCATGTGGTGGTGAGGTAGGATGGTCATTGCTTAAGCTATAGTTGTCTCCACGCAATTGCTGATCTTATCTAGGGTGACAAATGATTTGGTGGGGAATTGGATCGAAATGACATTTTCATTGAGTTGAGCTAAATTGATGTGAATTGTGTATTGGTTTTTTAGGAGCAATTTTACAATGTTTTATATAGGATCGGTGTTTTGATTTACAAACGATACTATTATTGTACAAACTGAACTTAACATTATGATATAAATTTAGTTTGTGCCTATATATTTTTTGTACAAATTTTTTTATCGTATTAACTAAACTTATATTTTTAACATTACGGCATAATGACACAAATATTGTTTTTTTTTAATTTACCACCAATATGGCGGATTAAAAAGTATTGACAAGTATATTGTGTTTTGGAGAAAAAGTTAGGCGAGACCACTTGAGACTGAGGTGTCACCACCTGAGGCTCAGGTGAATAGGTGGGAAGAAAGTCCCATGTGTCACCACCTGAGACTGAGGTGGCACCGCGAAGAACAATCCTAATTCTAACCCTAAACCCTAAACCCAAAACCAGTGAATTTCGTATCAGTTATTCACACCACAAATGGCTAATAGGTAAGTGACAAATTTATTTTTTTAATTATATTATTCAAATGCTATTATGATTGTGTTTAGTTTAATTAGTGAGTTTTTCTGTAGTGATTTTAGAAGATTTGAACTCGTCGTTCGGTGGAAATCGGAGAAAGTAGAGGATAATTTGGGCGTCAAATTCATTGGTGGTGGGAGTTTTCAGTTGACGGATTTTCACATGTAATAGTTGTGGTTTGAAGTAGTTATTGTTTTTCAAATAGTTGTTATGGTTTAAGAAGGTTGTTGTAGTTGTCGTGGTGGTCGTCAACTGAAAACTATTACATTTGAAAAACTGTCAACTGAAAACTACCACCACCAACGAATTTGACGCCCAAATTATCCTCTACTTTCTCCTATTTCCACTGGACGACAAGTTCAAAACTTCTAAAATCACTACAGAAAAACTCACTAAGTAAACTAAACACAATCATAATAGCATTTGAATAATATAATTAAAAAAATAAATATGTCTCTTACCTATTAGCCATTTGTGGTGTGAATAACTGATACGAAATTCGCTGCTTTTGGGTTTAGGGTTTAAAGTTTAGGGTTAGAATTAGGATTGTTCTTCGCGGTGCCACCTCAGTCTTAGGTGGTGCCACCTCAGTCTCAGGTGCCAACACCTGGGACTTTCTTCCCACCTATTCACCTGAGCCTCAGGTGGTGACACCTCAGTCTCAGGTGGTCTCGCCTAACTTTTTCTCCAAAACACAATATACTTGTCAATACTTTTTAATCCGCCATATTTGTGGTAAATTTAAAAAAAAAACAAAATTTGTGTCATTAATCCCATAAATTCAGTGTGCACCCGTTCCTTTTATGCAAATTCATTAACAGTACAAACTGTACTTGTGCTTTTAACGTTATGGTACAAATTCAATGTGTACCTCAAAACACCAATACTTTAAATTGTAATAGAAGGTAGTTGATTAGACTAATAAGTATATATAATTCGTGCTTCGTCTTTCTTTATTTTTAACGATTAATGGGGTGAGAAAGAGGTAGCTCCAATAAAGTTTGCTTAGAGTTGTGTATGTGGTATCATTCATCAAACTATAGCGCATTACTGAATTTAAGGAACACTTTGAGAATATTCGAGTTAAAAGGAAACTCAAGATAAACCTCATGTGTTATTTAACAATTCCTATTTTGGAATTGTGAAATGAGGGCTAAATTATATGTATGATCACTTAAATTACATAAATTTTTACATTTATCATATGTATTACTTTCTTTTCTTATTTGTCATTAATTTTACGAATCCTTTCATTATTAGTTACCGGTCGTCAGTAGCTGTCAGACTCCATTAACTTCGTCAGTATTTTGATCATTTGGCAAACGGAACTGCTGACTAGACTGTTAATTTAATGATATTTCACTTTAAAAATAAAAAAACTGATCTCTCATTTTTTGCCCGAGAAATGATTGCCTCATCCTCCACCGTCGCCGTGGACCAAGTGCATCACTCTATGACTTGTAGATCTGGGTTTGCTCCGTACGATGGGTAAACTAGGAATGATAATGATATTGCCCCCTCAACGGATTTGGGTTTGCTAGTGTTTCTCTCTGCTCTCGTTTATTATCCCGCTGACGATGAAAAGTTGGGTTCGCCTACAGTCTTGTGGAGGCAATGATAATGCTTGTCTCTCCTTTTCACTCTCCCGCTGACCAATTCACTAGAAATTTGAACTAGTTATGGATGGGTTATGAGTTGTGGGCTTGTCTTCTCGGACTGCTCCCTTCTCTCCGCCAAGCATTTCACGAAGAACAACGTTCCGTCGCTGAGAAGAACAACTCGATAAATCTTCCAAGAACCCCGCTCCTAACTCCTAAGCACCTTTCCCTTGGTAAACCCCTTTGACTTGTGGGAATGGGAAAGGTGGGGCCACTCCTCTGCCTGATTTTTATCTTTTTTTAATTTTTAATTTCTTTAAATTGACATGACATTAAGTTAACGGTCCGTTAGCCATTCCATTTGCCACGTAATCAAAAAAACTAATGGAGTTAATAGAGTCTGAATGAGACTAATGACCAGTGACTAACGTTGAAATTATTCATAAATTTAGTGATATATAAGAAAGAAAAGTAATTATTCAGGTGGCAAGTGTGAATATTTATGTAATTTGAGTGTCCAAACGTGTAATTTAGGGGCAAAATGTGATTGCAACATTTTGCTAAGTTATCTTCGCAAAACACATTTCCATAACCATAACTTTCACGTTTGTGATAATTATATCCAAAACTATAGAACTACACAAAATGTCCATTTTCATCATCCCTTTAAGAGTGACACTTAACAATATGTCTGCAAACGAAAATGTCGATTAGACAAATTTTCTTGCTCACCAATCCACATAAATTAACAAAAATAAATAAATACAAAATCTCTCACACCCAACTTCCCCTATGCCTTCTTCCCCATTGTTCACAAGATCCAATTTCCTTCCCCAAAACCACTTTCCCATGTTCCTCCTCCTCCCCAATTTCCAAGCAAAAGCAGGACATTGCTAACCTCATACTCACCTCCTCTCTTCCATGCTCCTTTAATCGCACACCGAAGTCAAAAGCAGACTGCTTCTATTGGGTCGGAAGATAGATGCTGATGGCCCATCGCGTGACAAGCCCAGAGCCTCTTGTCCTAGTCCGAGTGCAACTTGTATGAGTTGTTGTAGTGGTGGTGGTGGTGTATGGGAGTATATAAACTCCTCACATGTAAGGCCAATGGTCGTAAAAGAGTAATAAGAAAACCTAGTCTGTGGACGTAGCTCTCACACACTGTGATGGTGAACCACGTTAAAAAACATCGTGTCCATTGTCAATTCCGTATCTGCTTGTTTGATTTTTCTCATGGTATCAGAGCAGGTCAATTCAGCCTACTGAAGAACTCTTGAAGTTACGTCATGGGCGACAAGGACGAGAAGTCACTTGCTAGCGCAATTCAGGTCGGCGCTGGTAAGGATCAGGATTCCCTGTCACCGTTTTATCTTCATCGATCTGAGACGGCGAGTCAGCTGCAGGTTGGAGAAGTTTTAACGTCGTCGAACTATGGGGAGTGGATCGTGGAGATGACCGACGCCCTCATAATCAAAAACAAAATTAGGTTTGTTGATGGTACAGATCCCAAACCGGTTGATGAAGCTGGAGTTCGTGCCTGGACAAGGTGCGACGCGATGGTCCGAGGCTAGCTTCGAACCGCCATGGACAAGGAAGTGCGCGCGAGTGTGCGATACGCCAAGACCTCGCGCGAAATCTGGCTCGATCTCAAGGATCAATTTGGCCAGGGTAGCGCATCTCGTGCTTATGAGATTCGAAGAATGGTTAGTTTACTTCAACAAGAAAAGCTAAGTGTTTCAGCTTTCTATACGCGTCTGCGAACATATTGGGAGGAGTCGTTGTCGATCTCCCCAGCACCAAAGTGCACTTGCGGGTTATGTACTTGTGGTTTGGAGCGCCGAACTAAGGAGAGGGATGAAGGAGCACGTCTATTTGACTTCTTGATGAGGCTTGATGATAGCTTCGGGACCATTCGGACTCAGATATTGACAACTAAGCCCACTCCCACCTTAATGGAGGCTTTTAACCTTGTGTCCAGTGATGAGCAGCAAAGGCTCATTTCCCAAAAGAGAAGACCACAAGCCGAAGCATCAGCCTTCAATGCTTGTGGCGGCAGTGAGCGTTCTAGTGGTCAACGGCCAAACGAGAATCGCACAGAAGTGCGGGAGAGAAGTCGATCTAAGTGCACACATTGTGGTAAGACTGGGCATGTAAAAGAAACCTGTTTTGATATTATAGGTTGGCCTAGTCGTGACAGGAACTCACAAGGGATGCCAAACAATGGAGCTTCCAGCCAAAGACGTCGCGATAATAATGACGAGCAGCAGCCAAAAGCGTCCCAGGTTGAGTCGGAGAGTCCCGTAGTTGGTTTTACCATGCAGCAGCTCGAGCAATTGAAAGTCTTTTTCGGACAAGGAAGGGCAGTCGAGTCACCTACATCTAACATGGCAGGTATGAACTATCCTATGTCTGAATGGTTAATTGATTCGGGTAGCAACGAGCATATCGTTTGTGATGACTCTATTTTGAGTAATGTATCTGTGGATTCGTAAAGTCGACCGGTTAAGATACCTAATGAGGACAATGTT